AGACAGGTACAACACACACATGACAGGATAAGAAGGAAAGGCATAATTTGCCGCTTCGACCGATGCCAGACATGTGCACAATACCCCTCAATGCTTGCAGTTGCCCTTGTCGTCTCCTCAGCACTTCAAAGCGGATTAGATTCTATCGAGGAAGGAGGCGGGGAAAGGCGTGTGTCGTATCTCATGTTAGCGCTGCGGTGTGGCCCTTTACGGTGACCAGAGGCTGGCTGGCCTTGCCGTTCTTGTCGTGCAGGGCTCCACAATCTGCAGGTATGGGGCCTGTGACGGACGGATGCTCATCGCGCCTTCCTGTCGGTGTGGTCCGCGAAATCGCTCTTTTCTTTTGTTCCCGGGCTCCTCTCTCTTGTAAGTCTCGGCCATTTCTTTGTGACTATAAACAAACACCACTTTATGCGCGGTGCAGCGCCGCACGGTGCTTTGTTCAAAGCGCTACGATCTACCAGGCATTACTGATAACAGTAGCACAAAGTCGATGTGGGTAACGATGATCTCTCTTTTGTTATGTCGAGAGGCAAGACAATACGACAATGGAAAACAAAAGCAAGAGCGATAGAAATGGCCAACTAAAAAAGCAAGAGCGATGCTGGCCTCACGACTCGAATCACAAGCCGACAATAAAATGCACAAGCGCACTTGCCCGTGGATGACCTGCAGTGTCCCCCGCCATTCTGGCATCACCACCGCCAAGACTCGTTTGTCGGGCTCCACTCTGCCCGCAGCTCTCCTCTCACCTTTGATCAATACACTTCAACGGGCAGATATCTCTTTCATTTGGCACGCTCCTCCAACTACCCATACATTCTGATGAAGTCATCGCCTTTCGTCATCGTGTTGATTTAATGTTCGTATCTGCTACCAGTTTTATAGCAATGTTCGTCATCGTCGCCAATTTCGATGTGGTGCTGAGTAGAGATGCAATTACCTCTAAGCAATAGAAGAAATTCATTTCCCAGAGAATAGTCGCCCGGCTCTGATGACACGGAGCAGCAACGGGCGCAGTGTAGAGGCAAAACGACAAGGTGGCAAGGCAGTTGGCAAGGTAGAATGCTTTGCGCCGTACGTTTACTTGGATATGGCTGGCCGTATCGATATCACCAGCCACACTTTAAACCAGCAGTTTGCCCATGCGAAGGAAGCAAGCACGTGCGATTGTGGGCCTCGAATGGCAGGCTGGAAGAGACATCCAGTCGAGATGCACGGAAACATCGTCTTGGCTACGATCTTGATGCGGCTGCATTTTCAAAACGACCTTGAGATATCTAGTTCGGAAAACGATTTCAAGATTTTATGCGACGTATTACAAGTGCTCGTGTGCACATGCGGAAGAATTTGTGCCACATGGGAAACGACATGCCTTGCTTTAAAAGTTTTGTGACACGGTAGACATCAACCGAAATAACCAACGCGTCGCAGCCGGAACCAAGAGTATATGTCTTTGAAACTACTGAATTAAATTTTAAGTGGTTGTTCATTTGGTAGGAACGAACCAAAGGTTATTTGCTTTCCGGCCCGTCCCTGGGTTTCTAACTTCGCCACCATCAACGCAGCAAGTACTACCACCACAGGCGACTTCTGCGACTGTCGTACTCCGTGGCCTTCCGGCAGCGTTTTAGAACTACAATGTGCGAGTTGCGTCGGTCCTGACAGGTCTCAAAAGTACCGTTTCCTGTTTCCTAGACGTCAACCTGGACCTTTTTCGAGTTTGGCTCGGAGCGAGGGTATTAATGGATGTCTTGATACAAAGTAGGCTATTAAAGAGCTCAATAATAGAATGGTCGTATTGTCTCCGTTTAGATAGTTCTTTCTAACTGAGAACTGAGTTCGAAGTTAGCATAAATTAAGCCTGTTAAAGTAGAGGCGTAAGGTGGTCATGGCAGTTTGCCAACATCGTGCAGAATATCAGATTACAGCTCTGATGATTCGCAGTCCTTTGCGATATTCAGGATAAACATATATATGTACATCAAAGTATAACAATTATTACTACCACTGCTCGTTAAATTGAGTTGAGATTCAGTCTCTCCTATACATAACTGGCAGCAGCAAAGGAGAAGGAACATATCTGCGGTTCGAAAGACCTGCATGTTCTGATACTTCTTCCGTAAGCCTCAGTATGGCATATTGTCTTTGGCCGTACAAAGGCTTATTTTGGCTCGTCGGCCATTTCGTCGTGAACGAATGAAACTTGTCGTTTTCAAGTAGTGAGACGCATGTCCATGCCCCCATCTTCCAGTCTATTGTTCGCCTTTTTCATGAGAATACAGTAGCAACTAAAGTAAAACCAAATCAGCGCCAGCAGCAAATAATAAAGCAATTCCATTTTGTGAATACAGAATGAAGCGTTGTTTTCTTGTGAACTACCTCATAAAGTACTTCAAGTTTCATGCGCCATGAGCTCTCCTGTATTAGTTCGATCTACAAAGAATGGCAGAAAAGTGTTTCGTCAACATGATAGGTGATGACACACTCGCGCGCAACGAAAAATACAGCCTTCCTCCTTTGCTAATAGTCTTTCCAAACACTTGTCACTCATGCGCCTCAGTGTCAATCTAGTTGTCAGTATCAATACTGACAGCTGCCAGTTGTGATTTTCTTTCTTCGCATTTGTCCCAGTGGCACATTGAGAAACTTCACCTCAACCTAGAGACCGCGGAGTTGTATCTTCATTTATTAACTTGTGTCTCGTGTCTCTATTACAAGAATAAAACGAAATCAAATATGCTGGAAAAATACTGATATCACAAACGAAGACGGTCATTATATATAAATAACGTCACCTTTTCTGTTGTGGAAAAAATATCATGTCAAGAACATTAGGGCTTTGTAGCCTTGACCATGCGTATACTCGAGGCTGTGACCGGCTTTCGTCGCTGATGTACTAACTAATGATTTATGAACACAAATGATATTTTTCTTAGAAGTCAGACTCTAGATGAACCGCAGTGAGCTTTCAGAACTCTTCGAGGACTGCTCATGTGGTAAATTTTCTGTCACATAATGTTAGTATTTCTTTGATGATCTTCTTAATTTCATTCATTCTCGTATGTATTCTCATGTCGCTGTCATAATATAACGTCTAATTTGCATGCATCTTCCACTCCATCGTTGTTCATTACTCTCATATGCAGGCCCCAGCCTCGTATTTTCATCTCAGGTCTACACTACGTCTCAGATATATACATCGACAATTTACTTCAGCCTTACGAAGATGTTTCACTTTCGCTGTCCCAGTTTTACTCTCATATTCCAGATATCATCCGTTGGACGCGTACAATCTAAATTCAGTTGTTACGGTAACCTTATGCGACTTCCAGGTCCTCACTTTTGTGGACTGCATCTATAATGGTCCTTTGGAAATGCTGAAAAACTTAAGGGGTAGTGTTTTTTAATTTCATTAAATAGTCCTTCCTAATTTTATTTTTGGGAACTGGAGGCACTGTAAATATTACATCGATTAAACTAAGAACCTTAGGCGTGTACGACCTTCATTTTGTTCCCATTATTCGATGTATGTTGAACGGACTTGGGCGATATGAACTTTAATCATTTACATCGTCGTTGCTTTTGCTATGAAGTCTTCACAACGATATTTGCTCTCAGCAGGTATGAATAAAGCACAACCTCTTCGTCCTCCTATAACTCGCACGTGAGCATTATTTTTGACCGACTTCATTCCAGGCAGATATTTAGCCTTTAGGTTTCAAGCAAATAAGTTATCAGCAATCTTTCCTATTGTTTCTATTTTTATGTCTATGAAACCAGGGACCATAAAACATTTAATTCTTCCAAGCAAAAGACTCCTCGTCCGGTATATGGGACTATTGTCATGGCCAAAGAACAAAGGTTACATTAATATACCCCAAACCTTCACTCTAATTCGAGCTGTTTTAAGAAATATATCAATCAACACGCACTAGCCATTAATCTATATTTTTATTGTTTTGTTCAGAGTGGCGCCCAAGGATAGCGTTTGGCTTCATCGGCGGTTTGTCCACGTCTACCACAAGGATTTCAGACCCGAGATATACTTAGAATTTGGAGCAGACGGGGAGACAATTGATGAAACAGGCCACTTGGCAAAGTATTCTACACCGTCGGGTGTGTAGCATGCCCAGGCCTTGTCTGGAAGGGCCCTATCCTTATGGAAAATCTGTTCGGCAGGTCTTGGAACGCACATCAGTCTAGACCAACCGCGCCGGGCTTTCTTTCCTACTTCCCCGGTGGCATGGCCACTCCGCTTTGTGCCGTGCCGCGTATCCTTTCCTGCACTTACGTCCCACTTCTTCATTCGACCACCCCCTAGTTTTCTATCTGAACTGAGAGATGCTAGTGTGGAGGTTTTACAGAGTGCGATGCCGCAGATCAAAACGGCATGAATAACACTGCAACCGTGCAGACGAGACCGGGTGAACTTTTCGCATTGATTCGTATAGATGTAGCACTCAGCCAGAGGCTTGACCATGAACTCTTCTTATTCCGACGACCGGGAGTTTGGCGCTCACGCGAACGTCAACTGCCGTTTGCAAAACAACAGCCTGTCATGTATGAGTTAACGCGGCAAGCAATGCACGCATTCGAATTTTGCGCGAATAATGGTATATGTACCAGCAACAAAAATGGGTTGTACAGTTATGAATGAGGCAATTGCAGTATGCAGATGACAGCTCACCATCTGCATTCATCACGTAAGTGTTAGCTCTACATACGGACGTCGGCTGGAATTTAATTACTAGATGGCAGAATGATGACAAAAGACTGTTCGATTGTCAACAGGCGAGCAGGATTTTTAGGGCACTCATTGTCTTTGGAATTTATAATGGTTTCATGCCACTCGCATTGTGGCAATATATTTTGGAGCATCTTATGTTTAATAAGAAGTAGAGAAAAGAAAGAAAGAAAGACGTCACCGACGTCACAAAATAGAACTCGTGTACAAAGGCTTCAATGTCTGTACTTGTGTGAAATCAAACAAGTTCTCAATGGTTCGCAATACCTTCCTTGTGAACAGAAGTGGTACCACGCAGAAGGAGTAAGTCTCTCGCTGCTGACCATCACCGCTCTAGATAACTATGCTTCACAACGCAGAAAGAGTTACAAAAAAAATACAAAAAAGGGAGCAGATTCTGTGAACTGAAGATAGGGAAGATGAACGCCGTTTTTGGCACAAGGGCTTTCACGGGAAATAATGCATCACCGGCACCTGCCGTAAATATCCAAAGTGTAGCACCTCCCTTCCTCGAGTATTCTGCAATGCACCTCTTCTTCCGGATCAGGGAGGAGCGGACGGGAAATTTACAACTAAGGAAGGTGCAGCACAACGACAAACGAGTTGCATTTGAGAATGAGCGATGTCGCGAGGAGGAGCATGCGCCTTCCTGCGTTACGACATGACATGCTTCCCCCCCCTCCGCACGTTTTCCCCATATTGTCTCGCCGCCGTCTCAACATTTTGTCCAAAATACCATAACCGGCGAGGGTGATAACAGACGACAAACGATATGCATTGCTCCTCATCAACGCATCCGGATGGTTCTCGGAGATGGCCGCATACAAAAAAGCTACAAAGTGCAAAGTATGATCAGTGTTTCCGTCAGCCCCTGTCAGTGTCGTGCATTGTCTGCCAACCTAACCCTTTTTGTCCTGCAGGGTTCATTTCACCGTCGCATCGAGGACGGACACTCTGAGCACGCAGACTGGTGTCTTTGGATTTTAATTTGACTGCCTTTGTGCCCCTGGAGCAATCTCTCCCCTGCCGCCACAAGTCCGTGCCACCCGTCCGTGCTTGAGGCGGACCACGCCGCCAAGCTACCCACAAACCTTTTGGTCTCTCGTCTTCGACATACACATGCGGATGTCAGAGTGGTCAGGCCGAAACAGCAGTTGATAAGCCTCGTGCGTATGCAATTACTACGGCGGGCGGCACGGCGCAATTCACCATTGGCTTCTGCGATGTGTTTCTCACAAATAAAGGGCCAGCGGTTGAAGTCGACACCGGACGCCAAGTGAACGAAACAGGCGGAGCGAAGTGTGAAAATGCTGAGAGAAATACGTTATACCGGCCGGTCGCCAAATAGAACGGAGTACGGCGGTCTGGGCGCATGGCTCATAGTAAGTAACCATGTCTCTCACATCTTCTTCAACAACCCTTGTGCCTGTTAAATCCCGCGCGTGCCATACTGACATGTCATTTCTTCCTGTACAGGAATATCGTATTATTCGTCCCCCACGACTCGCCAGCTGGCAAGGTCATACATTTCAACACGTCAGTCGGTTTGTTTTGCAAACTAGCTAGGAATGCACCCTGATAGAGGCCGGCTATTCCTGGACACAAGTCAACAATCAGCAGTTAAGCAGTCAGATTTTGCTTGCCCAGTCCGTGCACGAGTATTGCAAATGCCACCTAAGGTCTCTCAAATGGAGGCAGATACCATTTCTATCCCCTGCATGCCATTTTATGTTATTGACATCCAGCAGAAAAGGCCTTGCTCGTCAGATGTCCCTACAATATACTTCGACGAATCGTCGTTCTCTTTACACCAACAGGAATGGCGTCAGTCAAAGTTGCGTGTTTGAATACAACACCATTGCTTGCCATTTTTTATTTGCGCCGGGTCCCACTTGCAATCGCGGAGCGATGAACGGCTGCGGGGACCCTTGTCACAACGGGCCAACAGACACTGTACATCCTCCGTGCGCCGAGAATGTTTCCACAGGTTTTCAATGCATATTAAAATTCACGACATTCACAGAGCGCGAACCACAATGGCCGGCGCACATGCACATCTCTATTGCGTTCCATTCAAATGTTATAAACCTGAGGAGAGAAACAAACCACCTAGGCTTTTGGCGAAGAAGCTGAGCATTGATAGACGGAAGCGGCAGACTTTTGTTTGTGCACCACCTCTGCCGCCCGTTGTTATGTTCGATGGCACGGCTCAGTTGCCAATGCGTCTTGTAGTATGCACGAAACAGGTATATTGTACATGTTCAGCGAAAACAACCGACTTTCGGAGCACTTGCATTGGATGATGTTTGCACACTAACCATCGAGCCGCAGATTCTTCCACACGCCCATCGCCTTAAACCGCCTTGAGAATCACATTGCGGCTTTAGCTGTTGTCGTTTGTCTTTTTCTGCCTTCGAGAGGTGCTTCCGTTTTCGTATGGAGAAAACGTCCCTCCCCGCCTTATCCACTCTCTTGCACCAATAGCGACTTCTCACCAACTGGCAGCGATGAGAAGGACCGGAAGCCGAGACGTTCTACCCTGCCTCAACCAGACCTTCTAGACGGTTTTGCCCTCCTGGCAGGCCATTCGTTTGGTCACCCCGGCCTCGCCACTGTTCTGCAAAGAGTGAATGTCTCGCGAGAAGAGGTTGAAAGTCACAGCCCATGTCACAAGAGCCTCAAGAGCTTGTGGGCAAAATTTAAATGGTCGTGCAAAGAGCCTTTCCGAGAACAGCCGCTGCTGACTTGTCTCGCAGACAATTGTGGATTTCGACGCATTGTTGAAACACCCACTGTGGATGATCTTGCCGACCTCTTGCCATCCGGCCCGCCGTCGATTTACTTTTATTCACAAATGTTCTCCCGACTTAAGCCCTCGTATTAAACCGGCATCAGCAATCAACCGCCGTCTTCCCCTCTACGCTCCACCTCGCGTGCGCGCTGCTTCTAATTTCCACTGCGGACAGTTGAGGGTTAAAGTATGTTTCTTCCATCCTGCACGCCTAGCCGCCACAGCCCCACAGATATGGTCTGATGCAGCTGAAGCGGCTTGACCTTGACGAGAAAGTGACAAAAGTGTTCTGGAGCAAGTAGCCGTACTGCTCGTTCTGTCGACTTTGGAACCTACCTCGCCTGGCCTGTCCGTGCTAAACCCTGCGTCAAGCGCCTTCAACGGAAATTCACTGCCAATTGCCCAGATAACGAAATTTGAGCGAGAAAAAGTTGCTAAAATCAAGCACAGCGGCTGCGGAGAAGGCTGGCGGCTGTGCGTCAACATCGACAAGAAACTCGCAATAATACAAAGACAGCTTCATCCACCATTCAAAGCTGCGCAGGTTGGGGAACGATTGATACCATACCCCGGCCGTGAACCACTATCTAACTAGGCCAGAACACATGGGGCAAAAAGCAAAAGGCAGCCGAGGAAATAACACCCTTCTTCGTCTTAGTGCCGTCTGGTCCCTGCACCTTTGAAAACTACCATGCACAGCCATGCCCTGTCAGATCGCCGTCGGCCCTCCAGAATATGATTGCGTTATATTTTATACGCATACACCTACACGGCCTGTAGAGGAGACTGTTAACGACACAACCTTCATCGGCGGGTCTTCAACAGCTCCATTGTCATCGAAGTTCAACTAGTAAGGTTCCACCTGCCTTTTAGCACTTTCTCGCTCGTCCTTGTGCTTCTATTTCCCCTCTTTGCAATTTGCTATCGTCACCTTCCTAGTTCACAATTATTTGATTTGACGCTTCAGAGGTTTGGGCGAGCAATCATGTGAGTGGCCACTTGTATAAGGTACTTAGTCTTTCCAATCCTCAATACGCTCTACCGCGCGCGTACGCCTCGCTGCAGTGTTACTGGATATAACTTGCCGGCGTCCTGGCTCCTGGGAAAGGTCATGGAGCACACCAAATAGTCAGAGCAATCTGCGCAAACGTGGCCGTCAAACAAGCACACGCATGTCAGTAACGCAAGAAACATGAACGCAACACAATCACGACAGGCAACAAGACTAGAGGGTGTACGTCAAAAGCAGATCAATCCTGCGTGTACCTGCAGCGCAATGCCACAGATATGCAGCATCTTGCCAGTCCGTATGAATATGGACCATGCAAGTTGCTGGGCTGAGGTTGACCTGGTATGGGCGTGGCCTTTGCCTAGCCGCAAATGCCCAAAACATGGGCCCACGCATGCACACAACTTATTACTCCCTACCCATATTGATGCAACACTACAGAGGATAAAAACTGCGAAGTACTCACACGCCGCGGTCTAGCCCCTTCTGGCTTGTACCGTTCAAGTTTGTTGTGTGTGCTTTGTATTACCTTTTCCACCAATGCTGCAACACACTTCTTGTTGCCTTTGCATGTCCTGATGGTCCTGGCTTGCTTGCTAAAAAAAATGTATGACAAAATAAAATGGAACAATGCATCGGGCCATGTTTCTCTAGGCTAGAGACATATAATATCTCGGTTTCTCCTCCATCTTCTTTCTGCTCTCTCCCTTTTTGTCTTATTCCCTTTACTTTCCATCTTGTGGCCAGGTGAAGTTGTTTCGGCTCTTCTTGGTCTTCACCCAGCACCTATCTCAACCTTTTGGTTTCTTTTGGGGTCCCTTTGGGCGGTTCTTTGCTTTTGTTTTGTCATCGCACTTATGAAGCCTGTTTTGCATTTTCTGTCTTAATTCCTTTGCCTGTTGCCTTCGTCTCTCGGACGAGACTTGGCGATTTACCCTCGCTTAATTCTGTTATTTCTCGTCTGGAGCATCCAGGCCGGCCTTGCTCCTTTCCTTCTTTGCCTCTTCGACTGAAAAACAAAAGTTTCTACACTCTCGTTTTGAGGCTCTTTTTATACCAACAGTCCTATACGACGGCCTTGCCAGTCAGGCCAGGTTGGTATAATACCTTTATTGCTCTCGCGTCCAGTAACCTGAACAAAGCAGCTGTATCCTCGCCGATCTGACGACGACAAGCCAAGGCGAGCAGGTTGGCTAGAAAGCAATTGCTGACCACGAACGTCTTATGTTTTGCCCTACCCTGACTTCCAACGGACAGGCAACTACTGGAGAGAAGAGGGTCACGAGACGTTGAGACCTAGTCATCCCATTTGATATCAAAGGAGTCATTGCCCTCTCAACAACCATGTCTGTTGAAAACTTTGTGGGAGGTTTCTCCACGCCGCTTAGCCTGCCGATTCCGGCTTTTCTACACTCCACCACTTTCTGGGCGTATATATTTTGCATCGTGTGGTAAGTTTCGCACATAATCGAGCTGGTACCGTCACAATGCAAGCTGACCTTTTGTTGGTGATAGGTTGCATAGATACATTCGTTTGCTCGTCCATTGCGTCAGCCACTGGACTTATAAGTCCAAACCAATTCTAGAAAAACCAAAATACTCAGCCAAAGATGTCACTGTTGTTATTCCTACAATCCACCACACCTTTGAGGAGCTCCGGCCGTCTCTTGAAAGCATCATTGCATGCAACCCATACGAGCTGCTCTTAGTGACAACAGCAAGCAAGATCGATGCGCTCGAGGACTTGGCCGATTCGCTCCGCGAATCCGGATACAAGAGCATCCGCGTGATGTGCACGAGTGTCGCCAACAAGCGGCTGCAAGTGTGCCTTGCGCTGCCCAAGGTCGAAACCGAGATCACGATCA